GCACAGTAGAACAAATATTGGTTTCATGTGTCTTTGTGAACAAAATCATTTATCATAATCAATTACATCTTCTCCATTGAACGCCTTTTAAAACTTATTTGAATATTTCATCGTGTAAATCAACAACTAAGACCCAAACTCTTTCATGGCATGCATTTTTAATTTTTCTTTGCTATTTGGGTTGATTGGGACCTAAAGAATGTAAAAACAAAGAATTACCAGATTTTTTATTTTTATTTTTTTTACCTAATTTTTGTTTTTGAGAAAAATGAGATCCACATATGAGGACATTTGTATCAAATTTTGATAGAACAGTGGCGGTATAATGTCCTCGTAAGTGGATATCAGGCCCTTTGTAGAAAAAAAATTAAGTATTTTGGTCTAGACGTCCCAAAATGTGATGTCCACATATGTGGACACCAGGTCCTAGGAGGTTAAGGAAGAGGAAATGTTGAGCAGAGGAATGCAGTCAAGTGAGGGTTATGAGGAATCTGTCTTCACACAGCTGATTCCTCATAACCCGGGGCGATCGTTATCGGTTACAGTTCGTCTTGTATCCGGAAGGTTGCCGGTTCGAGCCCCGGCTCGGACAGTCTCGGTCGTTGTGTCCTTGGGCAAGACACTTCACCTACTGGCCTTCACCTGATGACCAGAGGGGCCGATGGTGCGATATGGCAGCCTCGCTTCTGCCCCAGGGCAGCTGTGGCTACAACTGTAGCTTGCCTCCACCAGTGTGTGAATGTGAGAATGAATGACTAGTGGAATTGTAAAGCGCTTTGAGGGCCCCGAAAAGCAATCCATTATTATTATTATCATAACCCTGGTAAGTAAATCCCCCAAAAAGTTGATTCTGTTCATCTGGATGTAGTGTTTTCAGTGGGAGAAACATTTCGTCACTCATCCAAGTGATTTCTTCAGTCTCAGCTGACTGCAGGTTTCCCCAATCTTATAAACAGTACTTTTGCAGAATGGCTGAAACCAGCACCACTGAGGGAACACTGGGATGGGAGGTCTTCGATCCTCAACCCGTCGGTAGGCAGCTCTGAACACTGCATCCAGAACACCCTGGATTTTGTTGAGAAAGTGAGAGATGTCATTATGGAGGCAGATGAAACCGTGGTCTTGTACGATGTTACATCTCTCTTCACTTGCATCCCAGTCACAGAAGCGTTGGAGGTAGTCCATAAGAGATTACAGGATGACCCCAACCTCAGCAACAGGACCACTCTCAGCATCGATCAAGTGTGTTTGCTTTTGGAACTGTGTCTTCATTCCACCTACTTCACATTCAAGGGTCATTTCTACAGGCAGAAACATGGGTGTGCCATGGGCTCCCCAGTTTCACCCACCGTGGCCAATTTGTACATGGAAGAAGTGGAAAAGAGGGCTTTGCTATCCTACCCTGGAACACCACCAAGCCATTGGTTCAGGTATGTGGATGACACCTGTGTGAAAATCAAATCTCAGGACGTACCACATTTCATGGATCACATTAACTCGGTGGGCCGACACATCAAATTCACCAGGGAGGATATGAAAAGTGGCAGGTTAGCCTTCTTGGACTGTGAGATTTCCATCAGTAATGGGGGACATCTAAAAGCTGACGTGTACTGTAAACCTACGCATACGGATCAGTATTTAAGATTTGACTCTCATCATCCACTGGAGCATAAACTGGGTGTCATCAGGACGCTGCAACACAGAGCGAACACCATCCCCACAGACACAGTGGTCAGGGAGGCAGAAGAACATCACATCAAGAAGGCCCTGAGTAAATGTGGTTATCCCATCTGGACATTTGTCAAAGCTGGAAAGGCACCTAAAGAAAGCTCCAGCCAATTCAGGAGAGAAGGACAACCGCTGACTAAGCGAAAACCTGTAGTGATCCTGTATGTATCAGGAGTATCAGAGCAGTTGAGACACATTTTTTCTAAACACCGTGTCTCTGTAGCCTTTAAACCCCAAAACACACTGCACCAAAAATTGGTCCACCCCAAGGATCGGGTCCCCTGACACAAACAGAGTAACATAGTGTACGCTGTTAAGTGCATGGGGATTGCCAGGATTTATACATCGGGGAAACCAAACAACCTCTGGCGAAGCGGATGGCACAACACAGAAGAGCTACCTCGTCAGGCCAGGACTCTGCAGTCTATTTACACCTATAGGCCAGTGGACACTCTTTCCATGATGAGGATGTACACATCCTGGACAGGGGGAACGCTGGTTTGAACGGGGAGTCAAGGAGGCCATCTCTGGCAATCGAGGAGGGGGCCAAAGGGTCCATCTTTTGCCATCTTACAAGGCTGTGATTGCAGCCATTCCCCAACTCTCTGTGAATTGTACTCATGGCCATTGATCAGTAGTTGTTGCTCAATGGTCATGACAATTTGCATCAAGGGAACTGACCTCACAGCCCATTGTTCATTCAGTGGTGCTAGTTTCAGTCATTATGCAAATGTACTGTTTATAAGAAAAACCTGCAGTTAACTGAGACTGAAGAACTTGGAAAAGTTACGAAACGTTTCTCCGACTGAAAATGCTACGTCCAGATGAACAGAATCAATTTTTTGGGACAAACTTGTGACACACATCAGCCTCCAGTCATCTCAGGGAAAACGATGGTGCATGGAGCAGTATGCATTCCATGACAGTGAAAAGGAAATGCCCAAGACTTCTTGGAAGTTAGATAATGTGATAAACAAAGGTAACATTAGAAATACCAAGTTGTAGCTCACACCCGGCTTCTCAGAATCTTGTCCAAGACATTTGGAGTGACTGCCGCGAATCACCATTATCAGGAAACACAGGACCAGCATCGTAATTTCTGTTCCCTTCTCTCCTGATTGCAAGTGGCAGTAAACAAAGTGGATAGCTTGCAGTCATAGTTAAAAGAAAACCCCCTCTGTCAGATGTTTTTTTTTCTTTTAATATCAGAACATGGTTTTTAAAAATAATCTGGTCTTTAGCAGCTTCTAAAATTATTTAAATATAACCTCAGGTGTAAAATTGCACACAACAGATTCCACTGTTTAATTGTTTATTTAACAAAAATGCAAAATAAAATAAACATTTAACATGTTTAGCTGGTTGAGTCTAATGATGATCTACTCCAGAGAGGACTAGCAAGTCTTTCCACTAATGAATCTCACTACACAAGCATGGACTTTAAATAGTTAGAAAATTAGTCGGTTAACCAAAAGCATTTGAATAGAAGCACCTGGCTGCTGCTTTCCTTTTTAATTCCTATGGCAGCAGTAAGGTGTTTTTAGCGATTCACTTACACCTTCTGCATTTGGCTTAGCTTTTCTTAAATAATGACAGCACATTATTTCATATGTTGTTCACCTGAGGTTATATCTACCCAATTGTTTAAAAAAAAAAAAAAAAGACCAGACAATTTTTATTATATTTTTATATGTAAAACCTTAGAATTGAAAGGTGATGATGGGACAAAGCAGTGTCAATAGGAAGAAATGCTAATGGCAGAACACTTGATCACAGCATGGACCCAAAGGCCACATTAAGACAGTAGAACCTAGTGAATATGTAAAATGTTGTCTGGGATGCCACTGCACAGATTTCCCCTGGGGGGCAGGCACACGTGCTGCTTCATACTCTTGTTTTATTGTGTCACCAAGCCAGTGAGAAAGTCACTGTCTGAACAGAGCCTTATCCCTTGTACTTTCAGATGCAATGACTGGAGTGGATATAGCAAATCCAAATCACAGTTTCTGTACTGCAAAGATAATGCAGCCCAGAGCCTCTGACATGGTCTCCTTGTTGGAGAAGAACTTAGTTTATCATACCATGCAGAATTTAAGGGCTTGAGGTCAGTCAAGAATGACAGATTCCCTTCAAGTGCATTTGTAAGGCTGGAAAAAACCTGGAGATGAATGCCATACCAATATTTCTACAGCTAAGGTCCATTCTCCTTTTGAGCTGCCACAGGTCCCTGTTCAAGACCCTGCAGGGAGTAGGGAACCAGACTGTTGATGGACACTTGGGTGCCACCAAAAGGACCCTGAGCTATGACTTTCTGACCCTGTGAAACATTATTGAAGGAATCAGGGGGAAAGCGTAAAGAAGGTGGTGTTGGTGAAAGCATCCAACACCAGGTCTTTCCATGTGAAAACAAATTTCCTGATTTAAGTTTCAAGAAATACACAAAGATACTAACTCGATTTATCCATGTGACATTTCATTGGATCCATTTGAACCCGATGAAGGATATTAAATGGTAAATATTCAGTTTTTGATCCTGCTGATTAAAGACTGTTCAGTGTGGGGTTTTATTATTCGCCACAGTCTCAGTGAAATGAATAAACATAATTAGATATGGAATCATTGTTTCCTAGTACCTGCTACCAAAGCTCACACTTAAGCCTAAGTCATTTCTTTACCATTTTTTAGCTGTTATTTTACATTGTTTCAAATCAAAGGTCCTGAAATGTCTTTCTTGTAAACTTACATGTTGTAACAATTAATTTTTGCAGTACTTTTAACAGGAAAGTTGAAGTGAATGAAAATTAAGCCTGAATAAAAATTTTAAAGAAGAAAAAAAAAAAAGGATTCTGAAATAATGTGACTTTCTCCTTGCAGTCCGTATTTTAATAAGGTAAATGAATGTTTTTGTTAATAATGGTATGATAGCAGTATGAGAGCAGTATTTTAATAATCAGCCTTATGATTAAAGAAATTCTTAGGATAGCATGATTAGTGACCTTTTCTCATGACAGTGTCTATAACTTGAGGACAAGTCTCCTTCAAGCTCTACAGAGACAAAGTTGCATTGATTGGGCCGCATGTTGTACTTCTAAAGCTACTTTTGAATCAGGCAGAGCTTTTTTTCATTTCATTTTTTATTTTGTTTCACACGTGGTACAGCAGTAATTCATTTCCTATACACAAACCGTCCTTTCAAAGGTCACGCTGTTTTTGAACAGAACTCCCACAAATATCAGCTTCTAGATTATCCACACGACCAATCACAGCCTGAGAGCACAACTGTGAGCCAACTACAGCTTTAGACTGATAGGTTGCAGCTTGAGGTAATGAAACTTCACCTGTTTAGATGTTTGGTGGTTCCCTCTCAGCTAAGCAAGAGAACACTTAATTAGCATGAAATCAGCTTTGAGTCACAAGAAGCCTGCAAAAAAGAGGTAATAAGAATAAGGACAAAATAAAGAACAAGCAAAGGTTAGATACCGTAAACGGTGTCATTTTAGGAAGGATGGCGTGTGGGAAGAAACCAGTGTCACTGGTCATTAAAGAAAACATTGAAATGAAAGTGTTTTCTTCCAAGGAGCCCTGTAAGGTCTTGATAACACAGGAGGAAGAGGAGGAACACAGCGTTCACCAGGTGTGTCTTTTTAAATACTTCACTACAAGACATTATGTGTGATTTATAAATAGTGCTGACCCCATCAGGAAACTTTTTGAAGCTCATATGATGAGCAGAGTGGTGGTATATCATAATCAGATCCAATATCTTTTGACTAACCTCAGAACTAACATATAAATACACCTTAAAGGGTTGACGTCCTACTTCTAGACAGTACAGAGAGGTATTGCTTTAGATACTCACCAAACCTGTTTGGTTTTACTTTGTATGTAGAACTGTAGATGTATAGATATTGTTCTGCGTTTCCATTCAGACTTTACTTTCACTTGCACCTTGCTGGTACTGGGATGGAAACCCTTTTTCAATTTAGAACTGCTTTCATGGCATTTTTCAACAACATAATTGCTGCAGATTTGTCAGCTACACTCTCTTGTTCTACCACATCCCAGTTGGTGGCATTTTCTCAGTTGTTACCAAGTGCACCAAATGTGTTAGAAGATGTCTCCTACATCATACATGCATACATTTTTCCAATCTTCTGTTCATGAATCTTTCTGAGACCATGGAAATTGTGGCCTCAGTTTCCTGGTCTTAGCTGATAAGGGTGGCATCTGGTGTGGACTTTTGCTCCTGTAGCCCATGTGCTTTCTCACCTCTAGCATCAACAAGACATCTTCAATTTTATTTATACGGTGCAAAATCATAACAGTCGCCCCTAGACACTTTTTATATTGTAAGGTAGACCCTATAATGGTACAATAGAGAAAATGAATGGTAAATGAATGGGAAGACAACAATCATCATCAATCACATAAACGCACATTTTTTCTTCTCACTCTTAACAAACTGAAGACTTTCATTGAACTGCCAAATAAACAAATTGGTACTGTCTTTCTGGCCAGACACATGGCAGCACTTCTGCTATAACTTTGTTTGAATCTATCAAAATAATAATGCAGACATTAGTTATTGACTGCAAGTGAAAATTGTTTTCTTTGCGAATAACTCTCACTGAACTAACACAGACAATCACTCGACACATTTGCCATCATTAAATAATTTCTTTGCTTTTTAAAGAACTTATTTTAATGTTGCATTCAACAACAAAGAAATCCTCTTGAACAAAAAAAACAAAAACTTAAAGAGCCAAACTGCATTATATTTCTTTACGCCGATATAGGGATGACGTGAGACGCAAGTGGCCCTCTGGCCTAAAGGAAACATGTATAATGTAAATGGAATGAACAAATTTGAGTTTGTTAGAAAGATATGATTCCACTGCAGTGCAGTACCTTTAATACCCACTGCATGTTCTCATTGGTGTAATAAAATCTTATGGTCAACAGTATCAATCTGTTCTAGCCAGACAAGCACAGAGATGAGGCCACTGTCAGAGGCCACCATTTGTAACCATTGCTTAGGCTGTTTCTGTACTCTGAGCTCTGAAACCTGACCGAAACTCTTCAGATAAGTCATTTCTCTGTAGATGATTAGCTTTACTACTACTCTCTCAAGAATTTCTGATATAAAATTGATGAAATTCTGTTGGTACAGCTAAATAACAATCTGCTGTCAAGCAAAAAGCACCAAGTTAGACTACAAGCCATCTAATATCACTGATTGTTGTTATTCCAACAATCAGTGTTGCTTCAGATACATCACTGAAACTGTTCAATCAAGCAAAAGGACAACTGAACCAGAGCCAAAGCCATAATTTCAAAACACTGTGATTAATCAGCTCTCATCATTGCGGTGAGTAGAATTGTTCTGATGTTGTAGTGGCTCCACAATGTTGAAACTACAACTCATGTATTCAAAACAACAATGGTGTTTTGCTGCCTGATGGTTAATGATGCGGACTCGCATATTCTTTTGTTGCATCATTCGCGTGCTCATACATAACAAGCCAGCTCCTTGTCCTCCTCTTGTACACAGCGATACAGGGCGAGTCCTCTGTTCTCCGACTCCGAGGAAGCCCCTGAGCAGCAGGTCCAAACTCAACCCAGACACCAGGCTGAAACAGATTCCCCAGACCAGGAAGAACCTCACTGCTCTGCTGTGGTCTGCAAACAAGAAGTAGAGATAGAGCTGGAGGTTAGTAATAAGGCAGAAGTTATAAACCACTTGGTAAGAAAGTAAGAAATTTGTAGTAGAAAAAAAGACATCCCATGCTAAATAGCTGGTCAGGATCTCCAGGAATGGGTTTTTACTTTACTTTATTGCTTCTCTACAATGTTCATCTTATTTGTATTCATTTTTTTTAGTTCACATTTCTTGTTTTTATTCACCCTTCTTGTTTTTCCTTCCTGTAGGTGATTCCTTCTATCAGAAAGTCAAAGAGTCATCCAGCAATGGTAAAGTCAGGGGATCCTTTATTCATTACTGATATGTCATGACTCTTCATAACATATCAGGCATTTGATTTGCAGCCTGGACTCTAGAGCAGGGATGCTGCATACAAACAGTGAGAGCAGTGCAAACAGTATATAACTATATGGTGCAGTGGTCCAGTTCCCCTACTGGAATTAGAACAAAGCACAGCAATGTTAATTCAAATCAGTTCATACCAAATCAGAACAACAGTTGCCTCAAGGAGCTTAAATTGCCTCCCTAACATTGGTTAACGTGTGTATTATATGAAATTGGTTCTTCATCCCAAACCAGGCGGACAATAAAAAATGAAAAATGAATTAGACATCATAAGATTTAAATAAAATTTCCTTCAGAAAATATTCCCAATTCACACTTTCAAGTGTATTAAAAAAGAACTTTTTCTTTCTACATTACTACTACTACTTTATATTTTTATTGTAGGCTTGACCTTAATATTGATGAATCTGTTCATCTTTCTTCCACAGTGTCAGAAAAATGTTGACTTCAGTCTCCATCACATTATTTATCATCAACGATTTAAGCTTTTTAATCAAAGTTCAATCAGTTTTTTCAAACTTTATTTTCTGCCAAAATGGAAACCATATTTCCCATTTCCTGCACAGTTTTGCCCCATTGTAACTTTAGGATATTCTCCTGTTCGTGAATCCAACATGTAACACTGAGGGTTTATTCTGTGTATTTCAGCCATATTCTAACAAAGCTGGTCATCTCAAATGGAAGAGACTGATTCCTCAGAAGAAAAGACTGGTGGTTAAAGACGTGGTCTGTTTACCCAGAGGACACTCTATGTCACAGCTGGACAGGTGAGTGTTTATGTAGGAAAGAATACCATAAAATCTTATTCAAAATGCCATTTTAGGTCAGTGAATGTTTGAGTAGCTCCCACTGTTTCTAAAGTGATGATTGTGGCAATAAAAGGTGTTTACATAGCTCTGTTTGAATCTACTCTACTGTTCATAACATTTTTCAGTGAAGTAAATGTTATTTTCTGTTCTTCCAGACAAATAGTTCCAAAGAATAAAGACCAAGCAGCTCTGGAAGCCATGGTGATGACTGCTCGCATCACCATTGACCACAGCTGGTCAGCCACTCAGGTGAAGGGTCGACTGGCGATGCTCTTTCAGGGGCACTTTGTAAAACAGGCAGGACAAAAGTTTTCATTTACATATCTGCAGGTGGGTGTGAGATGTGTTCTGCCTGAGGTGTCTTAAAGTCTGTTCATTTTAGTACACAGAACATTGCTGAATGTGGTGGTTGTTTCCAGTGTGTGCAGAGCTCCAGAGTGCTGTTTGTCCCTGACACACCTTCAGAGGGCTGGACTGGAGAGCAGGTCCTCAGGATCTCTGAACATGGTGCTTTATATATCCTGAGCCACCACGACTACTCAGAGGTAACTACTGCTGCTTCATTACTAATACCCTGATGTGATCATTATAAAAGTAGGACTTGGATTTGATACATTTTTATATTTCAAAAGCCATAAAGACAACTTTGTGTGTTAAGATTCAGTTTAAAGATCATTTGGCTTCTGTGAAAAAACAGAAACGACAGCAAGTGTTTAAAATGGCTCATGGACCCCTGGACGCCTTGTTCCTGTGAACCGGGGAACACGGGATCTTTAATTATTTCGTTTATTTCTCCAATCTGCTTTAGCTTTGCTCAGTCTGCCTCCATTTTGTCTGTAGTTTATAAAGTTCTCTTCTCCTTACAGACAGAATCTGAAGGGTCAGCAAGTGAGACACTTGTGGTAAAAAGGCAAGAAAATATTTCCTGTGAATACACATTTAGAAATGATTAGTGACAAACTAAATAGCTGCATTATCTGAATTTGTGTGTTTTTTGTTTTTTTTGGGGGGGGGAGCAGCACAGACAGCTGCCAAGATGGTAAAAGTGAGCTAATAATCAAGCCTAGCATCTGCAGGGATACAAAGAAGGTGAGTTTGGAGGATAAAAGATAAAAAAGTCAATCCTAAATTCAGTTTGTTGTATTATTATTATTATTATTATTATCTTTGTCTCCTGTTAAACTTGCATCTTTTGTGCGCAGTCCACTGTTGACCTGGACACCATCCTGAGAGCGTTCAGACAGGAGAACGTAGATCCAGGATTGAAAACTCACATCCAGGTGAGGCGGACAGATCTACTCCACGGCGCTCTGGAGGTGGTGAGGAGGCCCGACTTCTGCTTCAGGGCGACGCCTGTTATCTCCTTCAGTGGAGAAGAGCCCGACGGCCACGAGGCCCCTGTCAGGGAGTTTTTCAGGTCCTCATCATTTCCCTGAAATTATTGCTGGAGCTGATGGCTTCAGGCATAAAATAAGTTGTATGGTTTTCTATACTGAAGCTAATTTATTCAAACTCTGATCCAACATAACTGTATGAATTTCATCAAGATTTAATATTCACTTTTTTTTGTAATTGGAAAACTGGCTCACAAAAAGATTTCCACATGGTAGCATGTAGTCTATAATAGGATCATATTCTATACATTTTGGGGCTGCAGTAAACAATGTGAAAATTGTGTAAAATGCTCATCATGATAGTTCAGGATCCCAGAAGACGGTGTGGTAATAAAACTGATTGTGTTGTTTGATCAACTGTCCAAAACCCCAAATATGTGAACAGATGGTATTTACAGCAATACAAAATGGAAAGGTAGCAGCTGATTTTTCTTTTTTTCTTTGATGAATGACATAATAATGGCATCTAGGTTTCGTTTTCGTTTTGTTTTGGTGCTCCACCATTCTGAGAGAAATGTTCAGTTCTTCTGAAAGAGGTTTCTGCCAAAACACCAAAGCATAAAGGTGTCATTTGTTAATTCATGTCTACATTTCTTCTCATGCAGGCTGATGCTGCTGGAGCTGCAGCACAGCTGTGTGTTTGAGGGTCTTCCAGGAAGTCTGTTCATGACCTGCAACTTCACAGCTCTTGAGGAGAGGAAGTACTATGAAGCTGGGGTTCTCATTGGCTGGTCGCTGGCTCAGGGTGGGCCTGGACTTTGTTGCCTTCACCCTGCATTGTATCAGGTAGAGTCCTTAACTGAATGTGTGCTAGTGTAGGCACTACAAGAATTTGTCATACAGTATTGCCTATTCTTTGCGAATGTGATATTAGATTACTTTTTCTGATGCCCTGTAGCTGTGTCAGGTATTACCAGCACAATCTTTGTCTGTATTTACTGTCACAGGTGATGTGTTGCCACAGTATAACATTAGAAGACTTCAACTGGCGGGACATTATTGATACCAAAGTCCAAATCCAACTGAAAGAGGTAGCACACAAGAAGAAAACTCACAACTCTAATTGTAACATATTTAAAAACTTGATATACTGCTGTACCTGTGTTATTATACATGGTTAGTTTGGATAACGATGATCTTAATATAAACCAGTTATTTTATTGATGGATCGGTCACACTGGAGTAAAAATAGGATGGTAACCTCACAGCTGCACCAACCCACTGGTTGCCCAGAAGTTGGTTGTGCAACAACTTGTGAAGGAATTTCTTTTTCATATTTGTGAGGTTCTGCTTGGACACTAAAAATAACTGGGAACTGTGAGTTTCTGTGTAGTAGAGAAAGCAACGGATGACAAAAGACTTTGTAACTGCCAAATGACCCTATTCAATACAGTCTGATAGCAGACTGCATCTTACTGCCATTCAATCACCCTCCTGATGTGTGATAGTCCCTTTGAACACAGGTCACAGACCTGGTCCCTGTCTTAAGTAACCATTTCGATGAGATTGTGAGATCACTGCATATACCATGGCAATTGTAGTGGTTTCCTAATGTGACTGTAGCATAATTACAATGCTGAATAACATCATCTTGTTTCTGCCTTCAGCTGTAGAATGATGAACTGTTTGTATGGCAGTTTTTCCCCCCTCACCTTTAAACTCTTCTCTGTATTAAACCCTCAGTCCTGTGTACATAATTGCCTTCTGTGTGCCGCACACAAATGATGTTCCTCTGCTCTCACAGCTACATAGTTGTACTGATGTAAAGCTGCTGTCTCCCAGTCTGTGCGACTGGGTGTCACGCTGTGGGATCCCTGAGATCTGTTCAGCCAACTCTGATGAAATGCCAGCCATTTATAGTCGCCTGGTAAAACACTACATCTACGACAGGTAGTGCACACACAGAAGCATACGTCATACACATGGTGTCGACAGTTTCAACTTGAGCTACATGCAAATGTTGCCCTTTCTAAATACAAAAGTTAAATTTAATCCACTTGCTGTCCTTCAGGGTGACTAAAATGATCTGCCAGTTTACTGAGGGGCTGAATAGCTGTGGTGGGCTGTGGGACATGGTTCAGTCCCACTGGGAAATTTTTGCCCCAGTTATGACGAGTGCACCGCAGCAGCCTCTGAGTCTGGAAGAGTTCAAGCAGCTTTTTACCATCAGCTTTAGCACTTCAGATGCCCAACTGAGGGCAGATGAGGAGGCCACAGCTGGACACTGGGAAACAATCCTCACTTTAGTGCGTGGTAAGGTTGGAGGGTGTGGTGGAAAGAATAAAGATGCTTCTAGTGTTTCAGGTTAGATAAAACATGTCTCTGTTTGCACAATCAGACGGCAAGGCAGAGTTTTCCTTTGAAGACCTCCTCACCTTCATCACAGGAGCTGACCGTTTGCCTCCTCTTGGCTTCCCCAGATTCATCTCTCTGTGTTTTTACTCTCAGGTTGGTGTTTAACATAAAAATCCTTAAAATCCTGCCTTTAATTGTGATTCAAATTCACAAGAATCACCACCAGCATCAACTATCCAAGGTGATAAAATATAGCTCCTTTTCCTTTGTCAAGAGATGAATCTTTGTCACATTTCCCTCACTATTCCTTTTTTTTTTTTTTTTTCCTCTCAGGATGCCAGCATGCAAGATTTGCGCCTGCCTCATGCCGCCTCCTCTTCTCTGGAGCTCTACCTGCCAAGGGGAGTGGCTGGGGCTGTGGACCTGCTGGCCCTGTTAAACAGAGCTGTGCACAAGGTGCTGCGAGACGGAAAGGACAACTGAAGAGAAGTGATGATGAGATTATGAAGAGAATTCCCTCTCACTGGAGATTAAACGTTTCTGTGTGATGTTAACAACATGACTAAAAGGACGCAATTTGCTCTGTGTGCACTTTGGTGCTGGTGACACGATGCTGTAGATTAGACCAGTGTTTGTATTTTGTAAAGACCTCAGTCTGATGGTTTTAAACCGTGTAGTGTTTATAATAGAACCTGTGCGCATTTTTTGATAAGTAGAATCATGTATTTTAAAAGAACGGGAAGGAATGGTACTCAACACACAAGGTCTTAGATGTTTTTGGCAGGGCCAAGTCAGAGTTGATGGATCCATGTTGAGTTTATTTGTTGATGCAGATAAGGTGTGTGTTTTCTTTCATTAATTATTAAAATGGCACTTACGAAGAGCACATTTAACATTGAATAGCAATCTATGTTTTCACTTTCTCTTGTATTTTCTAACAGCTGTTGTTCTTGATATTCTGTATATGGGTATAAATCTGCTTTAAATTCACAAGTTGAATAAAGTTTCATTTAAAAAGAATTCTGAAAGAATAAATGATACAAAGAATGGCCATTACAAATGGTTATATCTCTTTATTCAGAATAATCAGAATCCGATATATTTCTGTGTATATGAGACTTTAGTAGCAGGAGTGACAAGTTTGTAAAATTTAGTCACAGTTTAAAGTACAGTACAAATCAGCAGACATACAAAAACAAATTCTGAAAAACAGATTTGATTCTAATACCACAAAGGGGAAAAAGTGTGTTGTTGGTCAGTAATATCTGAAAACGGATTTATTTTCTTCATTAGGGTGCAGTATTTATGCACCAACGGTAATAATTTTCCTTGTTTTCCATGTGGAAAAGCCGAGTTAACCAGAATCTGTTACGGAAATGTAATTAAAATCTATTGACACGGTGAGCAGTAAGCTAACACCTGTGGAATTCTCACCCACTGAGTGTCACCCACTTTCTCAGAGGCCTAGCTGTGTGTGCAGTACAATTAATGCTTTTCCGGATCTGTACTTTTAAATGACTCAAAAGTGATATTACTAAAACATGTAACCAATAAATAAAATATTCTTTTTGTTTCAAAGCATATAAATTATTTGATTTCCTAGTCACCATTTTGTCAGAGTGAGTAAGTATTGACATTATTAGCCAGCTGCCTGGTTTGAGATGCCTATTGTACTTTTCAAGATGATAAACCAAAAGCGCATTTGTAATTCATGGGAACTACAGCATTGTGTTTCTGCAGTTTGATTTAATTTCAGAAATGATCATGTAAGGGGATTGATATTTAAATATGATCTGCTTTCACCCAGGTTTAGGTTTCATGCATTCACAGAGCAATCCAAGCCCATCAGGCTGTCGACCACTGCAGCACAGCTGATGTCTCCTTCTCACACCAATGTACTAATCATTCAGGATATGATGAAGCGACTGAGGCAAACTGCCGCTCCGGATCATGTTGAAACAAATCTACTAACTCACTGTTAAATTCTTGCCTTTATATTTTTATTTTTGACTTGTGTCCACATTCAATTTTTATGCTCCAACTTTTTTAATGTTTGTCACAGAGAGAATGTGGGGTATTCCATTCAGGACCTTGGTGTTAAACTAAATGGAAAGAAAACACAGAGATTAAACATTTGAATTTTTAAGACATGATTTGTGTGTGTGAAATTACTGATAAGTCAAGAATGTACGAAGCAAACTTTAAGATATAGCTATACCTGTTCAAGAAGGGCAATGATGGTTGCATTGCTAACCTGCCCGTATGTAGTCATCTTTACCTTTAGATGTGCAAGTGCTTGTGGGCCTGTTGGAACTGAAAAAAAGAATTATAAAAGTATAATTGGTAAGTGTAAAGTAATTATACATCATAAAATGCATTTGATTATTGCTATAAGATTGCTATAAGAGCACATTTCCCTCAATACTGAAACAATTACACTATAACATTTTTAGATTTTTAGATGAAAGCAGGAGTCACAACAGCATTTGAGGCTTTATGGCTTTTCCTATAGTACTTTGTGGGCTGGTCTCTAGTCAAAATGCTTAGGCCGTTTTTTTGTCCCAGTCCAACCCTGGGTGGGGGAACTCCAGGCCTCAAGTGCTGGTGTCCTGCGGGTTTTAGAACCACCGCAGCTAATTTAAATGGCTAAATTACCTCCTCACCATGTCTTGAAATTCTGCAGTGGCCTGGTAATGAACTAATCATTTGATTCCAGTGTGTTGACCCAGGGTGAGATCTAAAACCTGCAGGACTTCAACCCTTGAAGCCTGGAGTTTCCCACCCTAGTATTAGAGTGTGAATGTTGGAAGGACAACAGAAGGTAGGAAGAGAAACTGTTGCACACATTAAGTACTTTTAATTTAAATCACATACTTTGAATGGTGGTTGACCCTTCTGTAGGGGTTGTGGTGCTTTGTGCTGCAGTTTTAGTTGTAGTTGTATTCGTTGGCGCTGCAGTTGTGGTTGTTGGTGCTGTAGTTGTAGTGGTTTGTGCTGCAGTTATGGTTGGTGTTGTAGTTGTGTTGGTTGGTGCTGTAGTTGTAGTGGTGGTTGGTAGTGCAGTTGTGGTTGTTGCTGTAGTTGTATTCGTTGGTGATGCAGGTGTGGTTGGTGCTGCAGTTG